GATACAGAAGTTTAATTATTAGGTATGACTTTCTGTAATGGAACAAACTGAAATTCATGCTCTGTGTTTATTCCTACCCTTTTCTGTATGTTCTGTTGGTCAATTAATTTCTTCAGGAGTAGGACATGTTCCTGTCTTCACAGCCTCATGTTTTTCTGTCACTGAGTCTTGCTCCCATGCACCCTCAACAAGCTGCAAAGTCCTTCCTGGCCCCGGAATAGCAGAGATCGTATGGTATTTTGCTGCAGAAAAAGGAGCTCTTCTTGAAGCTATGTCCCAGTCCTGTAGCTCTGTACTCCTATGCCCCTGCTTGCGCTGGTTACATGATCTGAGGTCCATCATGTGATCCTGACGCACGACCTGACTGACATGATCTCGGGCATCAGCCTCTTAAGTAAGATGAGAGGTCTGACATTACTGAATCAAAAGAAGATTATGTGTCTCTTTGCAATTATCTTAGTCACATCATTAAGTTCACCAGCTTGGCATGTCACTGCTGCGAATGTGATATGAGATTGCTTGGAAACTGAAACAATAGCAAGGATAAAATGGCAAGCCCTGGAAAGGCTGGGAAAGTAGCAGCAGCTGCCTGAAGGAGCTAATTTTCATAGGTGAAGGCCCTGCCATCCAGGGTGGAAGTGTTTGAGCTTTCCTTAGCTTTCAGAGAATGGTAATACTTCGGTAAGAGAGAGGACACGCTGTCTTTATAATGTATTGGAAGCATTCTGGCTTTGTTCCTACTGCTGATATTAAATAACATATTTTGTTCTGAAACGGTTGGTGTGAAATGGTGGGCTCTGAATGGAGCTGGGCTGTCACGGTTGCTTTACGGGGGATGAATTTTAAGGTGCTGCCTTAAGAGTACGGCACAGGTAAATGTAAGACAGCAGAAATGTGACTAGCTGAATTTGAAACAGGAAGTCTTCAGAGGCACAGCTATTAGCTGCATAAAGGTTGAACCAGGGCTTTTAGACGATCTTCATCTTCTGTTTCAGGAGTCCACATGAAGAAGAGATTAAATGTAGCACAGTATGCTTCAGCCACATGCTGTCCAGTCTGCTATACAAGGAAGCTGGCAGCAGAGTATAGATAGAGACTATGGATGAAATTCTGCATTGCAATTCTTAAAAGGATTTGGAATACGCTCCCAGTTTTGGAAAAAGATTTTGTCCACCAATGCTGGGCTGTTCTAAGGCTAGCGATGCTCTGGCACTATTTAAGGGGTATTTTATTGCAATCCAGAGAAGTGATTGTAACTAATGTGATCATACATAAAGAACCAACAGTATTCTGAAGTAGCCCAAGTGACAAAATGGGTGCATGAGCAAATAAATATGCAATGGCTTAATTTTATGCCACCCTAAAATAGTTGCCTTTAAATTACATGAGTTATAAAGTCGCACAGTTAACAGTGTGCAGTGTAGAAAAAGTGCAAGTAAGTTAGGCCATAAGTTTCCCCAGCCTCCTGAGATCCCCAGTCTCTTGATATTGCTTGAATCTCTGAAGCGCATCTCTAGCCTGTCGCCATTCTGCTTCAAAATCAGCACTAGTCAAGGGAGCCCAGAAGGCAACCAGCAACCTCACAGGTCTTTTCTGACTGCAAGTTATGGGAAAGCCTCCTTTACCCACATGCAGAGCTCTGGGATCTCTTTACCTGATGTAAGATGACCGGAGAAGTTAGCTTACTCTACTCTCAGCTTTGTGCCAGTTGGAGCAGCCACCTGAAGGAGGGGCTTGGGGGGAGTTTATGTTCTCGTTAAATTACTTTTTTTTTGTGCCAGACCATTGTAAAAGGATGTTGTGTTACTGCAAATTAGGCCCAAGATCAACTAAGGTGGTAGAATCTGGCAAAAAAAGCAGATAGTTGACGTATCACTACTTGATCGTAGAGCAATATGAGTGTCATCAGCACTTTTGTTTTTTACACATAAGTAAAGCATATTTTTAATACGAATTTTTATTTCAGGGTGCAATAGATCAATGTGAGAAAGTATTGAATAGGATGATGGTAAAACACGTGGTTGTCCCCTCTATTAATTAGAACAAAAGCAGCAACAAGTAGAGAAATTTAACTGTTAACCAATAACAGTAGCATATTTGACTTTACTCACCCTGAAATTGCTCTTTTTGTAATGGTTAACTGCCCTGTTGTAACTCACAGCAGGGGGGTGATTTTCCCATCAGAGGAGGTAAGATAAAAGGAAAGAAAAATTCCATCACATGTGTTGAAATCAATTTAGAAAAATGGTGATTATCATACACTAAACAGTTCCAGGTAGGAACATCTAGAGCAGTTTTGGTCTTGCAACAATCAGTGGGGAAAATGGACTGTTAAAGGGATTCAGGTTGACTTTAAGGCATTTTCCATTTATTTTCTCTGAGGTTTTAAGGCTCCTTTTACCCAAGGTGTGGCAAAGGTCCAGTGGAGTCAAAGTCTCTGTATTTCATTATACAGCTTTCTGGACAGAGCAAAGCAGATAGCATTAAAAAGTATAGCTGAAAGTCATGTCACAAGCACGGCTAAAGTATTTTCAAGTAGAAGAAAACTTATTTGTAGTCAGAATTTGTTCACACACGTGAGAAACTCATCTGTTCGTTGAGTAAGTCTATGAGATGCATGCAAGTTTGACTTTTATCATTCTTTAATAATGTGAGCAGATAAAATCTTTTATTCTGATAACACAATATCCAAAATTACTTCCCAAACTTTGGACAATCTAGAGATCGTCTTTGGCTGAAAATGATCAGGGATAACGCAGCATCAAGTGGATCATTTGTTCACCAAGCGTTCTAAGGTAGTGGAAGATTAATATGGTGTCAGGCTGATATCACGATCTACTTCTCTGTGAAATGTATGGGAGCCTTCCGATGACGGTAGAAATTAGATCTAGTCTTTAATATGTGTATTTATTATATATGCTATATCATACCAACTGTGTAAAACTGGGAATTATTTGACTTATTCATGAAAGAATGCAAAGTTAACCTAATTTGACTTTACATGATGTTCTTTGAATCACAAATGGGTTATTCTACATTTTTTATTGCTCTTCAGTTTTGTCCTGTTGATTTTTTTTTTCCCCAAAATACAAAGCCCTGGCATATCCATGTGATTTATCAGGCTACTGTTCACGATGTATTTTGAAGTTGAGCTTGGTTTAGTGGGGCAAATAACCTCTGAATGTGATTAGCTGAAGTTATTTGGAGAGAACTGCATGTTTGGGCCAGCTCTGTAGAAGTGATACTAGCTCCTGCAATATATCCCTGAATCTTAGGAGAGCAGGTTGTATCCTACTTGGTCGGCCAAAGACAGACAGGAGTTCTGAAAAGCTTTTTACTGCTCCACAGATGCAAATAACTGAAGTTAATTTACCAAAATACTAGGGTAGTGGAATTTAGTTTTGCGTTACCCAATTTTGTCAGTTCAGATGGTATGAAGGAGGAAACAAGTGGTGTATGTGACATTTGTATATCTTCGCAAAGAGACTCTCAGAGGGTACCATGCTAATAGGCACATTAAAAAATCAATTGCCTGTATATACATGCAATTAGTTTCTGTAGTCCCAGAGCCTAATTTCAACCGTGTTGATAAAACTTTTTTTCTGCAAGCTTGTGGCCCAGCAGCATTTCTGAACTGTGGCAAACCTAAGTGGCAAAAGGCAACGAAGTGTTTGGAGCAAATATTGAGTTTTCAGGTGAGTGCTTTTAATAACGGGCAAGAGGGAAAGCAAGAATGGAACAAATCGGATACGATTTTTCAGTGGTTTGCTTGCTTTGTCCGTGGACCGTCCTGGACACACAAAGGGTAATCGTTAGATGTTAATGATGAACAAAAGACAAAAGCAGGCGCCAAACAAACAAACCTCTAATTGCAAACGCGTAGGCCAGAGTCAGTAAAGGAATAACGAAGAGAAGCCAGAACAAGAAGCCTGAATGAATGGCTCGTGTGCTGCAAATCCCCTTGCACCGAGCGCTCCTGACAGTACGTCTAGAGGCGTCTGAAGCACGCGTTGGCCGCTTAAGGCGCTGAGTCCCGTCCTCCGCCCTTGCTGCGCCGCCAGGGCGAACGCCGCTCTCCCCCGAGGGGCTGGTGGTGGCCGCGGCCCGAGGCGCCGAGGGGCTG